GAACTTTGTTGGGAAGAACTCGATGTTCGACTCTCGTTGTAGTTTGGCACTCGACTGTAGTGACGATAGTTTTTTTCGTCTTTCCTGATCTGAGACTCATCTTACTGATCATAGCTGTGGCTTCGCTACTGGTCTCGGATTGTCGTCGGGCTGCCTCGTCCATTATGAGAGCGATTAGGTTCTTAAAGGTTTTCTCTGCTTTAGGCTTCGGAAGCCAGAGTACCTTTATCCATGTCCAGTTTTGAGGTAACTTATTTATGAGGGTGATGCATTGAATTGACTCCTTGATTTCTGCTTGAGATTCGTCCAGTAGGCACTTGAGTCTCACGAAGCTGGTGAGGTTTTCCTCGATCGATTTGTCCTTTCGGTATTGCCATGCCAGGAAGCTGCTGACAGCCGTGAATTGTTGGCTCTCAGTCGTTGCTCCGTACGTTTCGACAAGCTTCTTCCAGATGGTTGAAGCTTGCGTATACTCGAGATTCTCGTAGAACAGATTCAGAAGAATGTTTCCGTGAATCGAGTTGATGAGTACGTACTTGGCTGCAAGATTCCCTCGATCGTACTTGGCTTGTTGGAGTTTGGCTTCAGGAGTGTCCTCCTTGTTTCCGACCAATTCTCCGTTGACAACTTGCCAGGCGTATGGAATAAGCTTGAGCGTGGTTGGCATCAGAGCTTTCCATGAGAGGAAATTTGATCCATCTTCCTTGAGGATTACCGTCTCATTTCTCAAACGTATGTTCTCGAGATTCGTTGGGTCTATCGTCGGGCATGGTTTCGGTGTATCCCCTCCGGATCCTCCGCCACCGGCAGGAGTATCTCCTCCTGAGGGTTTCACGTCTGAAGTCTTCGAGCCTCCAGCTGGATCATCGCCCGTAGTAACCAACGCCAGGGGTTGGTTGACGTCGGTCATGGTTGAGACGATTGGCACAAACACAGGGCACTTATTCTTACTTGAGTTGTCTTGGAAGATTGCTCTCCAAGCTCAGGAGTCCTCAGAGATTCGTGCTGATAACGATGAAGGAAATAGGTTTCGAATTTTGATAGATGACTGAGGATACTCTTCAGTATCGGAGATCGTGAGATGGCACTTCTGGAGCACACCACAGTTGAATAAGAACAGCAGGAGTTGACGAAGCAAATATGACTGAATCCTGTCAGTATTTTATTGAGGGAATCACTGAGTCTTATATACAGCAGAAGAGAAAGGACACATTCTGTATTTTCTGTATAATCTATAAAACCACGTGTTTCCCTATATGGAATGTTTTAAATGAGGCCGGGCTAGTGGGTTGTAATACAGCCGAGTAGGCTGAGTAGCTAAGAAAGGCAAGGCAAGAGTGGGAAAGAAACCTTGGATAGAAAATTAGTCAGAAATTCTATCAGTCCGAAAGTTTTGGTCTATGGCTGATGAAGAAACTACATGACGCCTATGGTCATATTGGGAAACATCATATAGCTGCGAAATTGAGACCATACTATTACTTCAGGAACATGGATCCGCTGTTAGAACGTCTGTGTCAAAATTGCGAAACGTGCATCCGAAATAAGACTCGAAACGGGAGACCGAGCGGAAAACTGTCACAGCTTGGTCCAGCTTCGCGACCTTTCGAGATAATGTCTCTGGATACTGTCGGCGGATTCGCTGGCAAGAGATCCTCCAAGAAATATATGCACATACTGGTCAATCACTTCTCACGCAAAGCTTTCGTCTCGACGACGAAAACCCAGACAACGAAGCAGTTTATCGATCTTATCGAAAGAGCCACCCGTAATCAAGACGTTCGTCTCATTCTAATGGAGCAATATTCGGCTCTCAACTCCAAAGATCTGAAACGATACCTGAAGGCACGAAAAGTAGATCTGATTTTCATTTCGGTGAACAATCCATCATCAAACGGCTTGAATGAGAGACTGAATCAAACTCTAGTAAATAGGATAAGTAAGATGTAAAATTAACGAAAACCCCAAACGAGCTTGGTCGGGTATCGCAGATGAATGCGTGAAAGAATACAATTCAACAATTCATAGCGTTACGAAATTCGAACCAGATTATCTTATGAATGGAAGAAAATCAGATACGATCCCTCCAGAACTTGAGAAACCGAGAGATCTCGAAAAAGATCGGGCTGAAGCCTTTTCGAATTTGAGAAGAAACTTCGAACGGAACAAATCGAGAATAGATAAGAATCGGAAAAATCGCAAAATAGAAGTGGGCGATTATGTTTTTTGTGGAAAACGGTAACAAACTCAATCGCAATAAGTTGGACGAAGTCCGAATAGGACCCTTCTGTGTTCTTAGACGAGTCTCGAACACAATGTTCGAGATCGATTGCGGCAAAAGGAAGAAAGAAGGGAATTTATTCCATATCAGCAAACTAGTTCCGAAAACTGTGAGCTCCTGATGCTTCCGAACTAAACCCTTGGGTTCAGACTCTGGGGGGGGGGGGATGTGATATCGCGCGTTCCGATATCGAGAGAGGGCGCCACAGCTCCACTGGCCGCCATTTTCATTTCGTGGAAGTCCTCGCATTCAGAGCTCGACAGAGACGGTGAAAATCGATTACGTGATGCTTACGTGAAAATGCTTACGTGAAAATCGATTCTCCGATTTAAGGTAAATTATTTCATTGAACTTCCAAGATTGTTTCTCACGGATGCCCGGAATGGCATGACAGACCCCTGGTTGAGGGTGAGAATGATATAGAAGCTAAATAAATTCTCCGATTCAAGGTTGAATCGATCGTACTCTCCTTGAGATCCAGAAGGAAGAAAGGAGAATTACATACAATCAGTGGATTCATACTACAACGCCAGAGCCCAGTACAACACCGTCCCCTGCATCCTCAACAGTTGTGCCAACAACGGTGCCTCCCACCGCCAAACCAACCACCGAAAGGCCAAGCACTACAAGGTCACCAGCTCTAACACGGGCACCTTCTAACCAAGACCTTAAATGGTTGATATCCATTGGCTCCCTGTGCTCGATCATCACTGCCCTTAGCGGAGTGATCTATGTACTTCTTGGCCATGAGGCTAAAATATCATGAGGCGCCCCGTTGAGCTCTAGTTCCAACGACTGACGCCGCGGCGGCTCTATCTCCTCGTCTGTAACCTCCTCGATCTCCTGTATCCGTGACCAGCCCGTGCCTGAGCCCGGGGCTTGGTTCTCGAGAGCGCGATCTGGGAAGAGGACATCCAGCGTCGCTCGGAGCATGTCCTTCGGCGGGGCGGTTATCGATACGTTGAGCCTGTTCATGATGATCTTATATGCCATCCCCCAGGGGTTCCGGCCCACCTCCTCACGAAGCTTCCGCCATGTTTCCTTCTTCGAGCTGAGAATCGAGCGGCTTAGGTCTTTTCTACTGTTTGTGTACTCTAGATTGTACCTGAGGCGGTTTTCCGGGGAAGCTCTTAGGTATTTCCTTCGGCTCTTGACGCATACCCTTCGTAGCTCAGCGATTTCGTCGTTATACCAGTAGGCCTTCTTGATGCGTGGCGGGCGGTCGGCGGTCGCGGCCGCGCAGGCTCTCTTCATTTCCTTCGTTAGGACTCCAGCCGTGAGGTTTTTGTCTCGTAGCCTCGTCTCGAGCTCCTGTTTGCATCTTTCGAAGTCTAGGTGCTTTTCGGTCCGCGGTTTGTTGCCCGTGCTATCGCTTGGGTCCCTGGTTACCTGGAAAGTAATGTAGTTGTGGTCGCTGAGCGACTCCAGCTCACCGAGCACTGCCCAGCCCTTGATTCTCGTCTTGATTCGGTCGTTCGTCAGCGTCAGGTCCAGGTGGCTCTCCTGGGCCCCTCTCTGGAATGTCGGCTTATTCCCGGTGTTATGGAGGGTCAGGTTATGTTTGGCTATGAATTCCTCTAGTAGGCGCCCTCTGGCATTCGCTCTCCTGCTGCCCCATAGAGGCGATGCGGAGTTGAAATCCCCGGTGATTACCGTGCCCTGTCCCCTTGGTCGAGATTCCAAGCTCGCGCCCAGTCTGTCGAGGAAAGCCCCAAACTCAGTGATGTCTACGTTCGGCGAAATATAACAGCTATAAAAGTTTATGTTTGCGTGTGTTCGCCAGAGGAACCCGTCATTCGATTCTTTTTCGCCGGTTCCCGCGCTACCGAGGACTTTGATCGCTGCGTCGTTTTTCTGGTCGATGGTCCAGTTTTGGCCTAGCTTGTTTACATTGGGTTCTGTGACTAATAATATATCGGATTCTAGTTGGGTGGCCGTGTTCAGGGCAAGCTCGTGAGCGGCCCCGCACCTATTGAGATTGATCTGGAGGACTCTGATCATCTTTGTTACTCGGGGGGGGCTCTCTTCTCTTCGGCTTTCCTTGTTCCTCTCAGCTTGCCATTCATGAATTTACTATACGTCGGGCATGCCATGGAGATGGCCTGGTGCCCTGCGACTTTACAGGTGTTGCACAAGGGCTCCTGGTCGCATTTCGCCGCTTCGTGTCCCTCCTTGGTGCATCTATAGCAGCGGGTCGTCTCTGTTCTTTTTTCTTGCTTTGGTGGCTGGTGTGACCAGCTGTGGCACAGTTCGAGCAGAGCGGCACGTAAATCTTCTGCGTGATCCTGCACGAATTCCAGCCTATCCTTATGCGCTTGTTTTTGATGAGCAGCTGACCGGCTCTCTTTGAGATCATGACGGTGCATGTCCACGTGCCGTTTTTCGACTCCCTCGGTTCTCTGATTTGGATCTCTCCTTGCTCATCGGTTTCTTCTCGAATCTTTTTCTCGATCTCCTCGGTGGTATTTGTCTCCTCCAAGTCGTGGACGATGATCTGGATCTTAGCGCCTCTTCGAACCTCTACATTGCTTCCGGTCGCCTGGTTTATGTCTTGTCGAAGGCGTAGACGCGCCTCGGGGTCACCGTCTCGGATCTGAATCGCGACGTGACCGTCTTTTGTTTTCGAAACTCTCTGGATTTTTACGGCTTGTTTCGCGGGATCGATCGAGGCCTTCATGGCCTTCACGATCTCGGCGTACGATTTCCCGTCTTCGTTCGTAATGACTAGAGTCTCCGTGTCCGTTTCGTTCCTCGATTTCATTTTCCTCCCCTTTGCGCAGAGTTCGGCGCCGGCGGAGTCGTCTGGGAGACAGCATTCCGCTAGTTTCAGGGCGGTGGTGACGTCGACGGCGTGGGTCATGTGAATCGTCAGTATCTCGGTCTCGGTGCTCAGCTTGTTTATTGCGATCTGTAGTGCTTTGGCGGCACTAGCGACGGATGCCGACTCTGTTTTAATGAGAGTTAGGGATCGCTGCGTGGGTGACTCCGCTGGGGTCGTCTCTTCCCCTTCTTCGATAATCTCCTCTCTGAGTTTGACCTGTATAGGAGTGTTCGCTGGCTGTTTGTCGAACCGGTCGGCGAGCGCCGGATATTGAGCCGACAATTTTCTTATAACGTCTCGATCCTTAGCGTTTCCGGCGTCGATCACGACTAGCCGAGTAGGGGCTAAGGAGAGTATGCTCTTGACCGTGGTTTTCGCCTTCCTGAAACAGCTTTTATCCCAGTTGAGCGAGACGAGCTTCGTCACATCGTCTGAGGACTTTATGTCGTCAATACGCTCATCTAGTTTCGCCGGTGTCAAGGCGGATCCCACCTGCTCGAGTTCTTCGATTCTCTTATTTAGTCTACGAATTTCTAACGCATCTAATTTCATTCTCTCGTTTAGAGCCGCGATGATCTCTTCCCTATTCTCGATTTCCGCCTCGTATCCCGCCTTAAGGGCCTCGTCGTTAGGGAGGCGTGTTTTATCGGTATGTATCTGTCTAATGGAGATAGAAAATGAGGACACTGGGCTTATTTTCTACCCCGAACGCTATTTTATTAGCGCGAAAGCTTTTGCGCCGCCTCTGGGGCGAGCTTGGAGTTTTCGTCTTTGGAGGGGGATATCTTCGGTTACAGTCGTCGGATCGAATTTCTATTACTACCAGGGGGCCCCCCGTGGCCCCTAGTACCCGAATCCGGTGTTAACTCGATTTGACCTTGTGAAGGTCACAACTTGAAATATGACCCCTAGGGTCACGAAAATGCGATTTTTGAATTTGTCGACCCTCAATTATCCAGGGACTCACCCTGCCGGGGGCCCGAGTCCCTGCCGATAAAGTAGCAAAGACTTGTTCGAAATGCGTCCCCCCCCGAGATAATCGACTTTGGAAAATTTTGAAAAAATTTCCCCAATTAACCCCCCTTTTTTATGCCCTTTCTAGGTCCGTCGGACCAACCCGAACCGAAACGGTCTTCGGGATTTTTCCGAGAAATGCACCGTTTCCGAGTTATGCCCGGAAAACGGCGCTATCACAGAATAATATCACAGCTTGGTTGCCCACTCACCGACTGGAAAAACCTCGACGGGATTTCGGACTCGCAAGCCACGACACTAACGTGAAAGTCAAAACACTCGAAATTCACCGATTAACTCTAACAGTTTGTCCTCTTATCGATTACGATCTGACGATCTAGCTTGTCACTCTGTGTTGTCTGCGAGAGCCAACAACAGAGTGACAAGTCTCTGGTTTTGAGGAAGACACACACCGGGTGCCCATGGAACAGCAACCCGTCGATAAGTCTCTCCTGCCTGAGTTTCCGCAAGTCGACGTTGAGCGTCGACACTTTCTGGCGCATTCCGATTACCGAATCCCGCAAGCGAATCACTAAGACATTTCCTTTAGCGCAACAGTATAGAAGAGAAATGAACATCAAAGGAAAGCCCACCGAGGCACACGGTCACAATGAGGACCACGATGGCCATTAAGGTTCCTGCGATGATGCGCTCCCGAGGTACTTCGATTCCGCAACGAGTCAGCACGCCCAGCTCTGCTCGATGGAGCTCGAGAGAGTCCCGCTTTGGCTGAATCACGATTTTCACAGTCGACTTCTGCAAGGAATTAGCCGCCAGGGTAGGGAGAACGATCTATCTAAATAAGAACATTCTAAGGTTCAACAGAACAAATCCAGGAAATCTCACGCTCGCGCCTTTATGGCCTTGCCGTTCCTTGCAGTCTTGACAGGCTTCGTGCTCCTGGAGCATAGGGTGATCGTTTTCTGAGACATGTTTATCGACACGTCTGCTGTCGAATTTCGTCGTTCTCTCCAGAATCAGGAGAAGTGAAACATCGATGGAATCAGTACCCCTTTTATATCGAACCAGCTTTGGGGAACGCGGCCTTCAGCCGCGCTCCTTATTGTGGGCTCAAAAGGGAATCCCGAGCTCATGGCCCGGGTGAGAATTCTTAGGTTGAAGGCAGCGGCAAATCCACCATCAGGAATTGCGGCGGTTCGTCGCGATGCGATCAATTCCATGAGAAAAATGATTTCGTTGTTGGGCTTTGGCACTGACCACCTTCTGACGGTTTCTAAAACTCGTCGGCTCGTAATCTTAGTCATGAAAATCCGCCATAGATAATCCTGATGATATATCTATACAACCGGAAAAGTCTTGAACGCTATTCCGAACAGTCAAATGAACCCCCAAGATGAGCAAACAATCGATCGAGCAAATCTTGAACTCGAGCCTATCTTGCTGCGTAGATTCGCATTGTTGCCTCACAACGGGAACGGCCGCGCCGCCGCGGCGGCAACGGAGACGGAGCGCAGAATTAAAATTGTCCCTCATTTCAATAGGGATTATCGGGTTCGAACTGATACTCCGGACGGGATGGACCATGAGCCCTTATGAATATCTCCGTGAAAATTGGAATATTTCCGGAATGCTAGAAATGGAAGATTTACTCGTCGGAATAGTCCGCAAGGGGCGACCGCGTCACGGCAGCGGCGGCAGATCAGGCGGAATTTCCAGATCATCAAGTAGATCCTCTTGAATAGATGCATAACTTCTGTGTCGAAATGAGGTTCGAGCAGGTGATGTGCTTTCAAGCAATGGGAGGGGGTGTCCGTGCTTCACAGACGTTTTGGTCGGAATCGGTGAGGATTTTGGTCTACAGACAGACAGAGTGACACACAGACTTAGCGTTTTATATATGGGGGGGATACAGGTGATGGATTTATTTTGTCAGTTTTTCCAGACTGGCAGATAGCTCAGAGATCAACTTTTCCATTTGCTCCTTACGAGCAACACATTCCGGTCTGTCACAAGGCCTGGGTGGTGAACGCTCCCCCAATGTTGCTTCGAATATTCCGCAGGGAGGGAGAAAACGTTGGGAACTTGCTCTCTGTAGGACAATGACTCTCCTTGATTTACTGTCTAGAATCTCCTCGAAGTCGATGTTAACGATAATTGCACCGAGTTGGTTGCTAAGACGCTGGTTATTTATGTTTATTACTGTCACAACAACATTAATCTCTGTACCATTATATTTTCTGGAACTAGTTTTTTCTCTGTACGAGCCTATGGAGCTCTGATAGTATAAAAGCACCTCCGAAATAAACATCAGACACAGATTCTTCTGTCGCACGCAAACCCTGCGTCCTCATTCCTGAGCGCATCTTCCCTACGAGGCCTTGCCCCTCGGAGATCATCTGAACCCTGTGCCGAATCAACACTAGACTCTTGGACCGTGGACTCCTACTGAATGAGCACCTTCTCAGTGAGCCAACGCTCAGGATCCTCACGGATTCCCAACAATTACCACGAGTGACCGTAGTGGAATGATGTCAAGTAAGGTAAACAAAGAGGAGACTGGACGTCGTCGTCTCAAAACGTGACATCGTATATATGACGAGCGCTGTAACAGACATTGGAAGTGAATTATTGTGCAAGGAGGAACTACTACCCGAACGACACGATCACGTGGAAGAGGGTGTGTTGAAACTCTGGGTTCCCGTGTCGTGTTTTCTGGTAAGTTTTACTACTCTGCTTTAGGGGGCATTGACACTGAGTGGAGTGGAAGGTTTACCCTTACCACGGTGTGGTGGACACTATATGTATAAGCTTTGGGTATTAGAATAAAGAAACTGGCTTTAAAGGCATCCACCGTCTGCTTTATTCTGAAGAGAAGTGAAGAGTAAACTCAGGTATTTTGCTCGCATTCAGTCCATGTCAGACACAAGGTGGCGTTAAATGACGCTGAACGCGATAAATATGCAAGAATCGAAGACCAAAGCCTATCAAAGGCACAGCTAAAAAAGAAGTTTGACTGCGAAGCACTGCAAGTCGAGCTGGACCACGACGGTCGAACGTTACTTGGAACATACTCTCGGAAGATAACCGAGAATATCGAGACGACGCAAGACATAGCATGAGCGACTGGGATGGCTGGAAAAACTGCGCTGGGTGTGTATCGCACATACAAAGAGTCAAGGACATCAGCCTCTCACGTCCAGAGAAG